TTTCTTGGAAATTTTACAAGATTTCAATATGGCCTTGCGTTGGAAGATACAAGTGAATTAATTTAAAGCACTAAGTAAGTTGGTTAATTGTTATGGAATTTCTTACAGCTAAAGTATATTGATAGTATTCAAAGAGGGGAATTGTACAGTATACACATCATCAAGTTATTTAACTGCACATTTTTCATGGAAAGGTGACACAATTACTCTCTAAAATATCAATGTCTTTGTGGTTCTGTGACCATACTTAGTATATTTTCTTCTTTTTCCTGTAAACTATTTTTTAAATCTTTACTAGTTTAGTTTCTACCCTTTTCTATAGTAAGTTTATACCTTTCAGAGGCTGAAGTCATCAACTTTCTACAGATGACTTTAGATGACATGACAGAACCTCACATACCAAAATGCTTATTAGTGTCTGTCTACAAAAAAAGTTCCACTGAGATAACCAGCAGCACCTCAAACTCATACAATTCATTTATGTGCACTGAGAAAACCCTGCCAAGGAACCTTTCTTGGCCTCGGGTCACAGTTATTTGCTGGAGCTCTGAAGATGAGCAGAACTGTCCAATGAACTTTTACACTAGCATTTAAAACTTGTAATATCTAGATTTCTCCTATTTCTTCCTAAATTATCTTTTCCATAAGTTTCCTCTAGGCTACTTCTTTTTCTTGACCATCTCTGTGTTTTCCATGTGTAAAACATTGGCAGGTTGCTTTTTCTATATTATCCATATATTTAAATTCCTTCATGTTTGGCTCACATTAAAAACAAAACAAAACAAAAAACAAACAAACAAAAAACAAAATAACTCAGCCATTGGAATTAACCTTTCATTCTCAAACTCCTATGAGCCTGAACTTTTGTTAAAGTGCGCATTTTTGTCCCCATTCTATATTTGTCATTACAGGCGGTTGTTCACCTATCTGTCTTCCTTACCAGACTGACAGCAATTTGAAGAAAGGAACTCGATTATTCATTTTCCTATAACCACAATGTCTAACACCATGCCTTTTTTCTTTTTTTCCCCCAAAGAAAGCACAGAATAAACGAATACTGAATGAGCAATTTTAATCGAGAAAAAAAAGTTTCACTATATTCAGATCATATGCTTGATATAGAGATATACAGATTGCATGTGTAAATATGTGTTTATAAATAAACTTGTCAAAACTTGCAAAAATTGCCAACTGTCTTCTGTTTATACTGTTTTTGTGAAATTATTGTTTTTGCTTACCCTAAAAGACACCTATCTAGTCCTTGTAGCTTTCAGTTAACTTAACCTAAGCTTCCTACTATGGAATTAAAGATGTGTGAAATTCAGATCTACTTTTAATAACACTATAATTTATAAGTGGGCAAAAACAATTTTCAAACAGACAAGGTAACATCTATAACAAACTCATAATAATTAATTTCAAATAGAAAAATAATAAAAATTTTATATGCGTTTTAGACATTCATCAGTGACATTCTTGAAGTAAATAATTTTGCCTCACATTAAAAAAAATTGGGTGAGAAATCAATAATTATGCAGATATAATGAAGAAAATAGCATAAAACTAAAGTAAAACCCAACCTATTTTTTTAAATCAAACTGGAGAGACATTCTTAAATTTTCTGCCAAAATATTTATTCTACTTTTCTAAAAAATAATGTAAGTGGGCAAGCTCTGCAGTACAGTGACTAAGTGCTGTGCATAGGGAGTAGGATCCCACATGGCCAACCAAGGTTCAAATCCCCACCTTGGCATCTAGAAAAGCACACTGGACCACTGGACACGTCTGCATGCATGCCCCAAATCCTAATAAGATGGAGAAAAGGAAGGAAATGGGGATTTCAGGGTGACCATGCTCCCCTGGGTATGTGCTCTTTCTCTCTCTCTGTGTTTCATAAACACATGCGCCCTTTGGCAACAATAACAATGAAATAGTTGTTTGCACTTAGGAGTCCATTGAAATATAACAAAATCAAAAAGTATTGCCATGTTGTATTCAAATCATCCAGTATTACTTAGAAAGACTTTTGATTCATGACTTTTGCTAAATGGAAAATAAAATAGACTAATAAAAGAATGACATCAGCATACTGATGAAGTTTTGCAACATTACCCATTAGCAACTGTACCAGAATCAAAATAACCTATGCCAAAGTAGGAAAACATGAACCAATTAACATACTAACTTGTCATATTATTGGAGATAAGAAATATACTTCATCTCTCATTTATTAAAGAACAGCAAATTGCTAAACTCCTCTATGCCTTTTTCTCTACATTTGGGGGAAAAATGACCACTGAAGTTTCTAAGGAATATGTGGAGATAAATAATATAATGAGAAAAAGATCTTTGAACTCTGCAAAATACATAGAAATTTCTAATATAGAATCTATATAATCTGCATTCCTAGAGCTCTTCAGAGTTTGTCTCAAACTTATCCAAGGTTTAAAGTATAACGGGAATTACTGCATTACACTCATATTTACATATGAGGAATTTAAAAATCAAAAGACCATTTGTCAAAAATTGTGCAACTAAATGAGTCAGGAATCAGTAACAGCAGAATCAGATCATCTATTCCATTCCTCAATCACACTAATTTGCATAATGTTATTGAAATTAACCTATAAGAATGATGCCAAAAATGTATTTTAAGAGATATGAGCTGGGTCCGTAGGTGTTATGGTGGTTAATAGCGCTGGATTCCCACATGGTCATCTGTGGTTCGAGTCCCGGACCTGGTGGTTTGCTTTCTCACTTTCCCTCTCTCTCTCTCTTTCACTCTGTTGCTCTCTGGTCAAAATTAAAAATAAATAAATTAAATTAAATAAAACAATTCTTTAAAAAAAGATGTATAAGCATGATATAAATATGGAAAGTGTTCAATAATTTTATTGAAAATGCATATTAAGAGAAAACTGTATAGATTTCAAAATTTTTTTGTACAAAAGTCAACTGATAACTTTAATTACATTTTTCCAAAAGCATTTTGAAATCCCATCATATATGTAGACTAGGTGAAAACAATATAAAGTTTTCCTGGAAATGAAAGCAGTAACCTCCCCTACGTCTTTAAATACATGGACATTTGAAGATTGTGACTTTCATGCCAGTAAGACATCCTGACCAAAATCGGGTCCTCCTGCTCAGCTTTTCTATCAGTCTCTTCATCATCCCTGTCATTGCTACTTTAATGAACTACAGAAATAGGCTCGTTTTTACAGTGTGTATGAGGTCACGCATATGTTGCAGGCCAGACATTAAAAGGTGCACTATTCCCCAGGAGAAAGCCCTAAGGTGATCTGGCCTTGGGCAGACTATATTTGCAACAGGAAAAAACATCCCAAGTCCCATGTGCATGCCTCTGGAAATTTAGTTCTGAGATGGAGATCCTACTTTCACTCTGGTCATATTTTTCAAAGGTAGTTTATCTTTGTTTTTGTCTTTAATACTCACATAGTATAGTTTATGCCTTTTTTTTTTCCTTTTCATTTTAGTTTTTGCTGTAGGGTGTGGATGCTCCCCAGAGAGAGAAAGGGAGACCTCATCCTACCCTCAGAGGTATTCCACACTGCAATTTCTTCTCTATTCTCTCTGGAATTTGGGAATGCATGCCACCTGTTGACACTGCCTTTTTATTGTTCTCTCTTTTTCCAGAAATTACCCACCATGCCAAAAGCTCTTCCTATGGATTTATTATTCCTGACATGATATCAGAAGTCTTTAGGGAGTTCATAAAAATGTAAATTACTAAAACGTCTATGTTTGGGTTTCTAAATTTCTTTTTACCAAAATTAATTCATATTTGATAAGGCCAACAGATGGCATTGTGGTTAACGTGCTGGACTTCCATATGGCCAACTATGATTCAAATCTGGGCACATGTGCATTTGTGCCCAAGATCCCAAGAGAATTGAGGAGAAGGGATTGTGGTGTAACCATTCCCCCTGGGGGCCAATTTCCCACTTTCCATCTCTATTTCTGTCTCTCTCCAGTGAGTGCACATATCCTATGGCAAAAAAACCCCTAAAACTAATAAATAAATTTGTATTTTAATTCTATTTTCCACAAAATTTTTAAAGTTCTTTTATGTGTATATACATACACACACACATAGTTATATATAAAAAGTTTAGATAAAATAAAAATGAAAATTACACCTGTATACAAACACATATATACATATGCACACATACATACATATATGCTGTGACTTCAGAAAGTTGGTAGAAAAATTAAAATAGAGCATTAGTTTGTTTTGGTGCAGAAAAATTTGAAATCCATAATATTTTTTATAATATGCATTTTAAATGGATTTTTTGAAGACTGCATTTGATTTGTTTACATCTATTTCCCCCAGAAGGATGCAAATGTGTAAATAGAAAACACAAATTATTCGTAGCAAGTAGATTCAAGAGGCCCCCAATAATCCCTACCTTCTGGTTTTGGCACTCCGTGTAATCCTCTCCCCTTAAATATAGATTGACATAGAAAATGCTGCTAAACAATAGTATGTAGCACAGATGATGTGGTTTCCACAAATAATCTACATGGTTGTGATTTCTGTCTTGCTAACTGTTCCTCTCTTGTTAGGTTTAATAAAACCAGTCACGCTAATGAGATTCATGTAGCAAGAAACTAAGGATGGCCTCCAGCCTACCTCCAGCCAGGAACTTCTGCTCTTATTCAAACAGCACTTGAAGAACTGAGTCTTGCCAATGACCACATAAATGAATCTGGAAACACTTCTTCCCCAGATAAAACTTCAAATGAGACTACAGTCCCGACTAAAATCTTGATACAGCTTTATGAGAAATTATGTGGCAGAAGACTAACCTAGGTCATCCTCTGATTTTTGATCCACAGGAATTGTAATAAAATGTGTTGCCCTAGACCTCAAAGGTTGTGATGTTGACTTACACAGCAATAAATAACACAGTATTTAGCAAGTATCTATTGAAGGACTAAGTGATTCTTAAGGACCTTTAATTAGGTTTGCAAAGAATATTCAGTTTACACTCAATTCACCTGGGCATTTGTCTTAATCCAATAATGTGCTAGTGACATAGTCTAATACAATTGTTCTCTCTAGAGGTCAGTTTCTTCACCTGTTGAACTAGATATCTAATAGCCATATATGTGTGTGTGTGTGTGTGTATATCACATGTATATGATTTATGTATGTGATGTATGCATATGATTTATATATATACATAGGTGTGCATATATTATTTTATATATATAATAAAATAAATTTTGTTAAATTCATTTTATTCACATCTATAAAACAAAGTAACCTAATAAAATGAATTTAAACTAATCTTGACACTAAATTTATTCTACCATTTAAAAATGAAAGTCTCAATCTACAATTTGCTCATATTAACTCTGTTACCATAATATTATGTTATCTCATAGAAAACTTGAGTTTAAAAATTTTGTGCCTTTTATTTTTTATCTAATTATTTTATATTTTATAAATAAACACACTAAATTTAAAAAATAAATTCTAAATATTTAGGTTTTTGAAATTAATAGAGTGAAGGTCAATTGGTGGGATGGTGGTTAAGGCAGCTGGATTCCACCTGACAAACTATGTAGTTCAAGTTCTACATCTAGCAGCTTGAAACAAACACATGCTGGGCACATGTGGATACATTCCCAAAATCCATAGAGGAGCATGGAGAAGACGGGATTGTGGCATGGCCATCACCCCTAGGGTGCTATACACTCTTCCTCTCTTTCTCTATCTCTCTTTGGCAAACATATACCCTTTATCAAATTTAAAGAAAAAGAAGAGAAGAAATTACTGCATTGAGATGTCTAAAATATACTGATTACATAAACATTATCTATCTATCTATATACACATACATATTTTAGGTCTGTGCAATAAGGCGCATGCACTCACCAGAGAGAGAAAGAGAAAGAGAGAGACAGTGAGAGCAAAAGTGAGAAATCACCCCCAGGGAGGGGATGGCCACACCTCCATCCCTTCTTCTACACTCTTCTCCTGGGATCTTGAGCATGCACACAAACACACACCCAGTGTAATTTTCAAGCCACCAGGTTAGGGATTCGAAATGTGGTCACCCACGTAGGAGTTGAGAACCTTAACCACCACTCCATCTGCTGGTCTAAACACCATATTTTAAATGTGATGATAAAATTTAAATTTAGGGAATAAGATTGAATTATCAGTTCAAATCTATTTTTCTAAGAATTGATAAGCAGAAAAACTTGCTTTACTCAACCCTCCAAAATACATATTACAGTAATAGTCTAACTGATTTTTCCAGAATATAATTATGATAACTTTTGTCTTGCAAGTATTAACATATTGATCAAGAAGTATGCATCACTCTTTATTTTTGAGAAAAAGTAATCATGAATTTGAATCTTCTAAAATAAAACTCATAATGCGATGCTCGGAAGAAATAGTGACTCAGGTGTGTTATTTTTCTGCTGCTGTAGTAAGAAGTTACCACAAATTTACTTGCTTAAAACAAGACCTATTTGTTATGTCCCAGTTTCCATGACTCAGAAGTGTTAGTTCAATATGGTCCAACTAGGTTCTCTGCTTTGGGTCCACAAAACTAAAATCAAGTTGTCAACAGGAATGCTTTTCTTACTGGAGGCTCTGGGGGAGGCTCTGGGGAAGAACCAGCTTCCACTTTTATAGAACATGGTAGCAAATTAATTTTCTTCTCGTATTTTCCATGTGATCTCATCAATTTTCAAAACAGCCAGAGGCCAAATGCTTACACTCCTAATTTCTTTTTCTTCTGTCCCTAATCTGCCTTCTTTTAAGGACTCAGGACTTTACGTTTAGCCCATCTGTCTCTAATACAGGAGACTCTCCCTATTTTAGATCAACCTTAACAAGCTCTGCAGAATTCCTTTGTCTATGTGATGTAATATAGCCATGAGGCTGATATTAAGGGATGAAGTTTACAAGGACCACTATTCTGTCTATCACATATGGTGAAGCTCTTCATAGTCTTCTCATGTTTTGAGATTCTCTGCTATTTAAAGTATTCAGATTTATTTTTCTTTTAAATATTACATTTTAAATATAAGGCCAAATTTTTTATGTAAATGAAATGTTGAGTGCTTTAAATACTCAGCTGTCTTTAAATTAAAAAATATTTTAGGTATAAAAATCATAAAAACTTACCTTTTACTACTGTCTTTGTTTCTGGTTTTCCTTTTTTCTCAATTTTTTCCTTGTGGGTTACTTAAACAGAAAATTTTATATTAGTACACACTTTATAATTTCAAAACCAAATTTTTTCTGACCTAAGGTTTATAGCCACCAAAATCATTAAATATGTTGAGAATTTATTATATTAAAGTCTATTTCAGGGATAAGGGGTTACCAATGTAATAATAACTGTATAGAATTCATTGTAAAATATGGCACTAAGACATAGAAAGGATTTTGAAAGCTGAATCCACTCTCTCTTTTTAAAGTCATTATGCCAAGTAGATAAAGTTTTTAGGAAAGACAAAATAAGAGGGAAAAATTTTATGAGATTTTGTCAAAAAAAAACAAACAACATTTGTGTCAGGAAGAAACAGTTTCTCTAGGGTTAATGAAAAGAAATGTTTAAATCAGGAATAAAGATTTGACTAAACATAGCGTTTCTCAACTGACATTTGGAGAAGAACAATTCTTTATTGTAAGGGACTCTTTTATGCATCCAAAAAAATAAGAGGGGCAAATGCTTACACTTTTAACTCTCTCTCTCCTGCCTATTCTGTCTACTTTAAGGACTCACAAATGCCCTCCATTCCAATGTCGATTTGATGACCAAAAGAATTTCCAAATATTCCATAGAGGATAACACCTTCATGAGAAAACTAACCAGAATATGTGAAGTAGTTCAGAAAGGAATTACTAGTTGAGTGTATCTTCATTGAACAGTAATCCACATGATCCCTGAAAACATATGTTCTTGTTGCTTATTCAATATATCAATATGAATTTATTTTACTTTTATTTGCGTAAGCTGTTAATATACTATGTCTTTTAAGTAAAGGAGATCCAAAAAGCACAATAGCAAGTTGTAGCTTTTTGTCATATTTCGAATATCTTAAACTATGTGATTTGACAGTTCTTTGAATTACTATATATTTTTCAACATTTACATACCATTGTTGGAGATAACAATGGGAATTAAATAAATTATAGAAAACTAAGGGATAAAAGTATGAGAGTTCCTTAAATAATTGGCTTAAAGAAGGATCCAAATTACTAAAATTTAAAAAATTGGGGCCCCCACCTATTTTCATTTCTCCAACTATATAATAAAAATAGTAATGTATATCAGATGTACTAAGATTATAAAAGGAAAATGTGCTCAAAATGTGTATTTTTAAGCATGATTCTCTTAAATACATTCTATGAATAGTTTCCCCAGAATCTTGGAAAGATGAGGTAAGCCTCAGAGAAGGCTTAAAGCATTAGACCTGCTGGAAGACCAAGTGACCCTGACAGATGCAGAGCTGCCAAGAGAGCAGGTCTCTTAAATACATTCTATGAATAGTTTCCCCCAGAATCTTGGAAAGATGAGGTAAGCCTCAGAGAAGGCTTAAAGCATTAGACCTGCTGGAAGACCAAGTGACCCTGACAGATGCAGAGCTGCCAAGAGAGCAGGTGCTTCCCCTGCCAGAATTTCGGCCTCTCCATACCAGCCTGTCCCACGGCCACCTCCACCACTATGTAGGCTTATGGGTAATAACTTGAACCATGTCAGCAGATGGAGCGTTATGCTAGGCTAAGAAGGGCGTAATTCACATAAGGTCACGGGGGCTACACTATAATAACATAGTTCATAAATCTAATATTTTTTTATCAGCACACAGTAAATGCAAGAACATTTGTAATGTGGTGTTTTATTTCTACTTTTCAATTTTAATGAATGTCCTACAACACATAGAATGTGAAGCGAGATGATTCTCAAACAATAAAAAGATTCACTTAGTTAATGTGGAGTTTGAAACATAGAAAAAAACATAATAAAAAAATGTCAGATTATTTCATTTAAGAGAACAGAGAACCTGATGCTAATTTTTCTGTATAAACCCACAGCAAAAGAGAAATGAACACCTGTTTCTAGAACAGAAAAAGAAAATGGGTGTATTGAAATGTATACAAATTATTATGATGGAAATAATATTCAAATAACAACGATTTAATTCAAAATTTCAAGTATGAATTAATAATAAATAATATTAAAGATGATTCAACTTGTCTGATTGCTGTATGTCATAACATATTCTACCGAAGTGGAATGCTTCATAAAACAAGAAAGCTCAGTAGACTGTGCACACTGTGACTATACAAATAAGCTGCAATCTAGTAGATATATTTTAAGCATGATCTGCTCGAAAACGATTATTGGATAGCAAAAATTTAACAATCTTACTTCCATTATACATTGAAAAAATTTTTGATGAATTAAATTTAAATGTAAAATATAAAACTAGTTTTTGGAAAACATCGAAATCTTTGAATGAAGATTTAAGAGCATAAAGAGATGGCTGGCAAGATGGCTGACTAGAGGTACCTAAGGGTCTTTCCACCTATAAAAAAAGGGGCCAAAACAAACGATAAACACCTGGTATTCAGCTGGAGTATTTGACAAGGAGTATTAAGTGTAGTGGGGACGAGGTGATGATAATGCAGTATATGGAGACTCAAGATGGTCTTGTTGGGGTGGTGGCAGAAAAGAACTCAACATCTGACACCACACCTCCCCAGTAGAGATAGGCTTAGAACAGGAAGCAATTTTTCATGACATGAATAAGCAAGAGACCGAGCAGCTCCCATTAACACCTGAGATGCATAAAGTCGTTACTGCAGGGAAATCCTGCAGCCTTCACAGGCCCTGAGCCTAGTTTGGGAAGTGGTGTGGGGGTCCACAATGCTGACAGTGCCCAGAGGAAGAGTCCAAGCCACATTGTACCTTCTCCCCTGTAGGCTGCAGATACACAAAGCCATCTTGTGACCCTATCAACCTGTTTCCCATAGGAGGAGCCAACTGAGAAACCCCACCCAAAGTTGCACCCCTAAAGATGTTTCTAAACACCTCTCTCAATCCCTGTGTCCTGTGAGAGCATCTATGAAAGCAATTCTACCCCAGTAAAGTTTCTCAGAATCCCTGCCTCCCTGCATCTTGAGAGAACAGCAGGGAGAGGGAGTTCACCCACAGTTGGGTCTCCAGAAAGGCCCTAATCCCAGAATATTGCAGGAACAAAAGAGAAAGTGACCCACTCACAGCTGAGTCCTAAACAATGAGCAGCCCCCCCACCACACACACACACACACACACACACACACACACACATTCTTGAGGAGTAGCTGGACTAGGAATTCCACCCAGAGCCAGGCAGGGAGTTGCTGGAGTAACTCTACCTATTAGCAGTTTGTTGAAACAGCCAGGCCACCAGTCTCTGCTATATGCCACACCCAGAAAAGCTGGAGTGACCTCAGCCATCTGAATATATCTTGCAATTAAAAGACTGAGGTCCCAACTAACAAGCCAGCCCCACAAACTCCCACAGCATAGGCCACTGAGGCACTTGTAGAAAAACAGATGTTGATTACAGAAGAAATTTTATGGAAACTACCTGGAAACAAAGTCAACATACCCTACACAAGTAACACCTTAGGACTTGTCTACAGGGAAAGATTTTTATCCCAACTCTTGTATCAGATGTACAAATATCAACATAGGGACACAAGAAACATGAAAAAGCTAGGTAACGGGACACCTTCCCAAAAGAACACAATAATTGAGCAGCAACAGACTCCAAATAGAGTGAATGCCTGAAAATGAATAAATACTAGTGCCCATGAGATGATGTATTGTTTTCCTGATTTTGTTTAATTATCTGTATTCTCTTGTATCATGCTATGCTTCTATGAGAAATTCAATAAATACAGATATCATAGAAAGTAACCAAGCAAAATTCTAGAAGTTAAAGGCTTCAATGAAAGAAAGAAAAAGGGATAAAAGAAACATCAAGTCATAATTAAGAGAATTTCCAACAGACAAACAGTAGATTTCTCAGCAGAAACCTTATAGGCCAGAAGAGGATGAAATCGCATATTTAAAGACTTGAAAGTAAAAAGGTGCCATCCAAGAAGATGACAACCTACAAAACTACCCTTTAGAAATGAAAGAAAAAATAAGTCTTTCCCAGACAAGCAAAGACAGAGAATTCATCTCTGGAAAACTTAATAAGAAATGCTTATGGGCATTCTGTCTGAAAGTGAAAGATTGATCACTACTCTCATGAAAACACACAAAGCATAAAGCTCACTCATAGGGCATATATAAAATGAGAAGGAGAAAAAAATCAAAACTTACCACTAGAAAAACACCACTGAACTACAAAGATGAACAAGAGAGGAAGAAAGAACAAAGAAAATACAGAACAACTAAAAAAATTTTAAGAAATGACAAGAGTAAATCTTCAACAATAATGAATGTAAACAGGTTAGACTCTCAAATTAAAATGAAATAAACCAACTTGTGTCACTCCAAAGCCTAGAGGTAAAGGGAGCTGGTTCCCACATGTCTGTGATACATATCATGGCCATATCAGCTTGAAAAATATCCTGGGCATATGGGTATATACACCCCAAATCCCATCAGGATGAAGAAAAGGAGGAAAAAGTGTTGCAAAATGATGACATTTCACTAGTAGTGCTTACCCCTGCCCCCGTCCTGTTTCTGTCTGGTGTATGTATGTATCCTCTAGCAATTAAAAAATAAAGGTATAAACTAGCTGAATGAACATTAAAAATAAACAAGACACAACTATCTACTACCTATAGGAAACCCATTCCACTTGTAAAGATACAGATAAACTGAAAGTGAAGGGATAAAAGAAATATTCCATGCAAATTAAAAACAAACCCAAAGAGAAATAGCTATCATTATATCAGATAAAATAGATTTTGAATTGAAAACTGTAAAAAGAGTCAAAAGTCATTACATAAGAAGAAAGGAAGCAATTAAGAAAGAGAATGTAATAATGATATATTTGCAAACCAAACACTAGAACACCTAAATATAAAGCAGATATTATTAGATCTAAAGGGAAAAAGAGCCTTCACTACAACAATAGTTGGGGACTTCAATACCCTGCTCTCTATATAGGACAACTAACCTAGGCCGACATTTGACAAGGAAACATTTGATTTACAGACACTCCAGAACATTTCACCAAATAGTCACAGAATCTACATTCTTCTCATCAGCACATAGAACTTCCTCCACACAGGCCATATTGTAAACCACAAAACAAGTCTCAACAATTTTTTTAAACTCAAAATAATATTAAATACTTTTTCCAACCACAATCAAATAAAAGTAGAGATCAATAACAAGAGAAACTTAGGAAACTGTACAAATACATGGAAGTTAAAAATATGTTTCTAAATGGCCATTGGATCGACGAAGAAATTGAAAGGAAATTTAAATATTTCTCAAAATTGAGAAAGAAATGCAACATACTGAAACCAATGGGATGTAGCAAAAGCAATACTAAGAGGGAAGTAGAGAGCAAGAAATGCCCATTCGGAAACATAGTATTTGCGGGAGGACTTGCTGGTTGGTGGGGCAGTGATAAAACGCGATGCCCTGTGAGGCTGACTCACTTGGAGGGGCTCTGAGTTCATCTATGGAGAACTCCCAGGGTATAGTGGGCATGTATGAGCACACGATGTGAGCCTGGCTAAGACTGGAAGGGAATTGCAGTGTCAAAACTCTGTTGAGAGTACAGAGTCTCCATCACTTGTGCACTGTCATTCATACAAGAAATAAACAAACTGTTTTTTTTTTTTTTTTTTACAAAATACAGACTTCAACTAAATAACCTCACAAAGCACGTCAAAAAGATAGAAAAGCAAGGACAAGCCAAACCTAAAATTAGAAAAGTCAGAGCAAAGACAAAGGAAATTGATACTAAAAATTAATAAGTAAAAAGATGAATAAAACAAAATTTTGCTCTTTTTGTTTACTTATGAATGAACATGGGTTAAGAAGTAGGTAATTGTGTTAAATGAATAGATTTTAGGTGTTCTTGTCACAATAACATAGAAGGAACAATTTGAGAAGTATGTTAAGTTGCTTCACAATGTAAGTATAACAATATGTGTATGTTGCTATATGTATCCTTTTATAGCTTTATGTATACCATTATACCATGTTGTAAATCTCAAACACACATGATAAAATTTGTTTAAAGAAGAAAATAAAAACACCACAAGAAAATATCAACATACCTATCCACGTAAAAATGAAGATTCTGAACACACACACATACACTTATGTGAATGAAAACATATACATTCACTGACACAAAATTTCATGCTAGCTCCAAAACTGAAAAAAAATTTGAAAAAAGTGATAGATATATACTCCCAACTGACACACACACACTCGTTATTTGAAGAAATGGCCAGAAGTGAACAGTTGCACAGAAGAAATATATGTTACCAAAAATATTTAAATCTTTCAACCTATAAATAAGTAGTTAGAAGATATGGTGGAAGACAATATCTCCATTTTAATGTGCAACTTTTCAAAGAGGAAGAGAAAAAATCCACGTACTGATATGGAAATAGGATATATTGTTAGTTTATACGAGTCAGAATATAGGACATAAAGGAGTTTGTGTATAAAAATAGAAACAATAACCTGTATTATCTGGTAAGTGTATATTATAATAAAGCTCTGGAAAAATCCACAGAAGTCTCCCAAGAGTGGTCTGCTGTCAATATGTGGGGATGGGTTAAAATGGGAACTGGGATGGTGAAAATAATTAGGAGGAAGGTCTTCACAATGTGTCTTTATGTGTTGAACAATGAGATTGTCTGATTCATTCTAAGTAAATAAAGAAGAAACAAAAACAAAAAATGTCTTGTCTAATAGGTAAGCAAATGTGCAATTCAACAATGATGGGATCTATCTTATTACCTATCAAATTGGTAAGTATTCTCCAAAGTAATATTATCCTTGCTGGCGTAGGCAGGCTCCAAACTGCCAGATGAAAAATTGACTCAATATTTCTAGAAATATAATAGAGCTCAAGGATTAAGTATCTTACTCCCTTCAATTCAGAAATTTCTCTTTGCAGAACTGCAAAATTTCTCTCTTCCAATTCTGTTCTAAGGAAATAATCATAATTTAATTTTTAAAAAGAAATGCATGGCCATCTAAAATATGAATATAAAAAAAGGAGCAGTAAAAGGAAAAAGGCTCATTGTGTGAAACGGCAATAAGAATAATTTCATACCTTTTTTTTCAGGTTTTTCTTTTTCTTTTACTTTGTCTTTGTCTCTGTCTTTATCTTTTTCTCTGTGAGTAACTAGAAAGAAACAGATAATACTTTTCATTTAAATAAAAGGGAAAAATGATGAGATGTTTGCATGACAGTTTTTTTATGTCAAAAACTTACCGCTGCTTTTACAAATCTTCCTTTACCTAACATGAAATTGTACATAATTAGAAGCTTAAACCTTAAGATAATTACAGATTGATTTTTTATTTCCTATCTAAAGACAAACTAGTACTGTAACCAAGTTTGACTGTGAAGATAAAAATACACTTTGGTTTTTCCACATAGAAAATTTAATGAATTGGAACATTTAAAAATATATATTATGCCATATGCCATAAGAGCCCAGCTTTGAAACTGGATCAGTGCCAGAAATATGCGAATGAAAATACAGAGATACGTAATGTTCTGAACCTGGAGCAAAGAATACTCTAACTCATATGTGTTAATCTTCTAAAAGAAGTATTCCACTCTAAAAGTTTTGAAAATATAATGGAATGAGACTAAAATAATACCAAATCTTTTCAAAGAGAATAAAATTTAATTTAATATGAGATGTGATCCAATTTGGTATTACAACAAACCTCAAATTTTAGTTAAAATCTTACACTACACATTAGTAATACTTCTTAATAATTATCAGAGAGAGAAACACGGAATACATCTGGATTTCACTCTCTTACTTTCATGTGTCAAGATCTTTCAATCCTAACTTTAATATTCCCCTTGTGCATCTTCTTTTATCCAATATTCCATTTCCTGCTTATCGCTGAATTGCAAAAAAATATAGAGAAAGAACACACACCATGAACTAAAGACTCTGCTAAGCAAAACAGATTTCTTTCCCATCATCACGATGTCAATAACCAAAAGGATGATAGAGGCTAAACAAATCATTACATAGGTAGTTATTTGCATAATTTAATTGCTAAGAAGAAAGTATGCGGAGTGGCATGTCAATGTACAGAATGGACTCATCTTGCCCATGTACTGGGTTGGCAAAAAAGTTATGATGTATTTTTTTTTTTTTTTTCTATGCAGTGTCATTACTTTATTGACAATCCAAATTATTTGAGGATAATACTTTGACACAAATAACATTCAAGAAGGTGGAAAATGAGAAGGTAGCCTAGTGAGAATGAGAAGGGCAAAGGGGAAAAACTCATAGAGAAAGTTGGAGCAAGATGTCTGTCTTAGGCATGTAATAAGTGCACCTGTTCTCATAATAAACGTAATAATTGCACCTGTTCTCATAATAAACTCCGACAAGACGTTTAAACCCTTAGGTTTAGATTTTTCTCTCTCATAGTAACCTTTCTAATATGAAAATTTGATCATATCATGTACCTGTCACACACGGTAGCGCCTGTCACATAGTGAGTGCTATCCTAGCTACAAAAGTATTTTCTTGCTCTAGTACTCTGACATTTGCTTACTCATCTGCCAGGAATTTCTCCTTGAACTTTGTATTCTAGTTCTAACAAAATGCTTGCAGTTCCACAAGCACACCATGTGCCCTTGCAATGCCCTTTGCATTTCTGCCAGTTTGTGCTTGCCACTTGGAATTCCCACACCCACATTTTTAAACTTTCCTTCCCCAGTTTCATGCACACTTTCAGTCGGTCTTAGTTTAAATATTTCCCCTTCTGTAAAATTTTCCTTGACATTGGCTTATGTTATACAGTAACTGTACCATGCATAAATTCTATTTTAGCAATTAAACAATAATATTTTAATGATCCATTTATCTGACTACGCAGAAGATAAAATCTTTAGAGGTTGTGTCACATTCTTTTATTCTTGCATCCTTGGCTTATCATAAGGTTTTTGTCATATACTGGCCTCTTTATAATGCTTCCAGATAAGGGAAATTTCAAAACATTATATGAACAGCTAGTTTTATCTTCTAATTAAATTCTGTTTATGGATGATGTGGTACAGAAATAATAGAAACTGCTTGCTTCCAAATTATTTAGAATTTTTATAATTTATTAAATTTTCTTAAATAATTAAACCTAGTAAGAAACAGAAGAGAAAAAATACACCTTAGACTATCTAGATGTGATTTTTTTCTTTTGAGCTGCTAAGTTCAATATAAATATTTCACAAAATAAAGTGCAAAAATCAACATTTACACTGACCATGAAGAGTTTATTTTGGTTCCTTTGAATTGCTATTAATTAGGCTAAAAACCAAAAGAAAATCTTGGCAGAAACAAAACCTCTTCTAAAGTTTCTCTAGGGGGAACCAAGTTTGTGAGAGATAAGCTGTGCTTTCGGAGCCCTGATTGGAAAGACCCCCAGGGGAACACCTAATCTGTGTCTCTGCCTTGGTAAGGGATGGGACTCACCCACCTCAGACAGCTGGTTGTCCATTCCACTAAAGGATTTTCAGATTGACGTGTGCACAGGCATAAATAGGAGAATTAATACAAAATCAAAAGAGCAAGGGGACTGAATTCAGACTCAGATTAGCATATTAATGCCTTATTCCTATTACCCTTGGGAGAAAATCTGGTTCCTCCCAGTCTAAGTTTTGATTTACGGACACTGCACTGTATGTTGGAATTTCATTATCTGCTGAGAAATGGCACCATAATACCATTTAGTGAAGCAGCTGGACCCAGGTGCTCTAGGGAACTGTTTAAAATGGCAGAGAGCCACACAAGCTTCTTGCATGGAAACTTCAAACTTTGGCAAGACTAAGCTCAAATCCCAAGTTTTGAAATGACTTTCAACACAATGCAATAATCAGTAACTGTGTTAATAATAACTCTAAAATAAAGATGATTTGCTACAACCACTGTATTAGCTTGTATATCTCTTTGCTTAGAACTTCTAACCATGAGTTTGCACACGAAAGAAATAAAAAGAGTTATCTCCTTGTCACCAACCCTGTTTGGCAGGTTATATCTTAGCCAGGACAGTTTTAGCTCAGGACCAAATAAGCTTTTTGCACCTGCTAGAGCTTAATTTGTTTGTCATCTTTATTTACAAGAAACAAAAGTCCCTTCAGTATGCTGATAATTAAAAACAAATGGAATCCACCAGTTGGAATGGCCTTGATGTTTGGCATCTGAGTTGGTTTGGCTCTGTTGCTCCTGCGCTTGCCCAGACTCTGACCTTTCCCAACCAGAACATTCAGCTCGACTCAACTCTGAAGCATGACTCTCACTCTCCCCATCGGCCCCTCTCCAACACCCCCTACACTGTGTTCTGTGCATTTGCTTTAGACCCTGGAAGCTGCCAGGCAAACTGCCTTCTTTTTGAAGTGTATCAGAGCTCACAGTGCACCTGACCCTGTCGTTTGTATAAGGCAAAGCACTCCCTAAGGGGCCAAACAGTAGAGGCCAGGTTGTCAGAGTTCTTTCCTTGATCTCTTTGCTCTTAGTATGAAAATAAAAAGTTTTGGTGCCAAATTTTTTAAAGGACTGGTTGGTATAGTGTACTGCATTCTTTAAATAGCATATAAATTTAATTAATGAAAACTCTAGAACTGATACTTGACTTCAGAGCTGCTACATAGAACTAGTATCAGATGGATAAGCAAGTATGCATTCCACCTTTTTATTGGAAAGGAATTTGGGGAATATGGTTACCTGTAACAGATTTTATAGAATTTTTAAATTTTAATTACACTACCTTTCAGATTTCTGGCTTCTGTTTGTTTGTTTTTTGGGGGGCAGTATAAGTTCCAAAGGAGACTATAAATTTTAAAAAGGTGAACATTTCAAACAGCTTTATAAAATTCATAATGCATTCATGTTTTATTTATTTTTTTTTAAATTTGCTGGAGGATATGTGTGCTCACTATAGAGAGTGAGATAGAGAAAGGGGGAAGAGAAAACAACCCATAGTGGAGCAGGGTCATGTTGTAATCCCTTATTCTCCATTTTTCTACCCTGTCAGGATTTTAGAAATACATGTATGTGTGCCTGGCATGTTTTTCAAGCCACTGGGGCTGGTATTCTGTGTTTGGCTTTCTTAATCACTAGGCCATTGAGCTGGCTCTACATGCATATTTTAATTCATCACTTTTTTTTGTTTATGAAACAGCATGAAATTCTACTTCACCCACCACTGTACAAAATGCCAGATACACTTTTGGTTGGTGTATATGTCTCCAGACATGTTTCATTGTTTTGTAACTAAGCTGTAGAAGTTTAATTCTGGGCCTAGGCAAAATTATCTACATGCCTTTTAAGAGATGATAAGTTCAATAGGAAAGTATTCTTCAGTAAAGAAATTTCTATTTCATCCTTTTTTTTTTTTTTTTCTCTGAAAGAAGAACTTAAAAGTTTAACTTTAAACACACAACTACCCTGAACTTCTTTGTCTGTGGATATGAAAACAGAGGCTGGGGCTGGCCCTGTACATAGCATAGTGATTAAGTGCCATCCGTTGAAAGCCAGATCCCACATGGCTGATCATAGTTTGAGTCTCGGCCCTGGTGGGTTGAGGAATATATTGGGCACATGTGCATGCCCAAAATCCTGATGGGAAGGTGAAAGTAATTGTGATGTGACCATGTCCCATGGTGGTAGTGGAAAGTACTTTCTCTGTCAAGCACTTGTGCTCTCAGGCAATTAGAAAAAAATCAGATGAAAGACAAAGAAAGAAAACACAGGGTAAGAGTCCATGACAGAGCTGTAAAAGAATTGTTCTCTCATTGCCAAATTAGCACTCTTCCCTCCAAACCATACAACCCTGTCCTTCTCAGATCCTGTGCAGACTGTAGACTTATTCCTAGGAGCTGAAGAGTACTAATTGGATTTTCCAAGCCTCTCATCTACAATCAACCCTTCAATAGTGCACATACTTCTTCTCCATAATAAAATTATTTTTATTTATATATTAAGGTGAAGATTTGCTAAATTACTCAAAGTTATAAATTTCACCTAATACATATGCTTTAAAACACAAAACAGATGTCCAAATCCTAAAATATTAGTTTCATTGTCAGATCTGATTTAATTGTATGGACAATTTCCCCTTCACCTGGGGTCCCCAGCCACAGTAATAGCAATCACT